GGATTGGCAGATGTTAGCACCGGGCTGATCTCACAAAAAAAAAAAAAAAAAAGACCAGAGTGCCATCCAGGGACCCGTGTTCCAGACAGAGGGAGCAGGCCAAAGGCCCTGAGAAGATTGTGTGCCCGTGTCTGAGGGTCGAGGGAGGTCAGTGTGGCTGGAACCGAGTGAGCAGGGAGCGACAGTGGGCCAGAGCGGCAGGGTCAGTCCTGGGCTGGAGAGCGCCACCACACACCCCCTGCCCCCACCGCCATGCACGTCCTGAGCTGGCACCAGAGTGTTGGCTGCAATGGTGGGAATGGCCTGCAGGGGGCGGCAGAGCAGGAAGGCGCGAAGTGGCTAATCTGGATTCATGCTGAAGACAGAGCGGGGATTGGGTGTGGGGTGCATAAGCCGGGGGCGAGGTTTTGCGGACTTTCTGGAAGGCCAGAGTGGCCGTTTCCTGGGGCAGGGCTGGATTTAGACACTGGTCCAGTGGTGAGTGTTGGCCGACGGGGCAGGATGCCCGTCCCCTGGAACGTTAGAGGCCCCCAGTCCTGAACGTCTGATCTGCTGAGAGCAGGTGGGGCAGACAGGAGGTGAGGGACTGAAGCGTTTTCTGGACTTCAGGGGAGAGGCGCCCAGGGACAGCCCAGCAGGGAAGGGGCGCCCAGGCTGGGGTAGGAGCGACGCCACGCAAAGCTTCGGGGGCCACAGGGGCTCCTGATGGAGCGACAGGCAGTGACCTGGAGGACCATGCTCAGCCCTGCCATGGCTAGTGAGAGAGAGAGAGAGAGAGAGAGAGTGTGTGTGTGTGTGTGTGTATGGGGTGTATGTGGGAGGTGGCGGTGTTTGCAGCCTCAGGACTGGAGTGAGGGGAGAGGGTAGGCTGGAAGCCCCCCACCACTGGCCTGGCTGTCCTGGGGCACTGGAGGGCCGTCCCCCTTACACAGGAAGACAAGGGGCTCCCTGGGACCCCCACTGGCTCATCTGCTTTCCTTCTTCACTCAGCCCCGAGGGTGGTCCTAGGGATGCTTCAGAAGGTGAGTGCTGGCAGGTCTGGAAGAGCTGGGAGGGGACACACTCCCTCCTAGGCCCGGGAAGCTCATTTCCAGAGTAGAAACTCAAATACTTGGAGTTCCAGATACCGTATTTCACAGAATAGATGATGCACCCTGATTCCGTGTGCCACTGAGAAGACGGCACGGCTGCTGCTAACGAATCCGAAATAGGGCCCGTGGTTTGGGGGGGGGACCCCCACGCCCCTTGCCCGCAGGAAGATAGAGCCTGTGGTACTGAGGGTGCCCCTCAGGGTCTGGGGGAACCTCCCCTCACTGCCCATCAGCCCACAGGAAGAGCCACATGCAGCTTTCATTTCTTTATTGTGGGGCCGCTGGGGAAGCGGCTAGAGGCTTGAGGCTCTGGTCACACAAGGGTCAAACGACCTCATCGGTCACTGGGATGGGGTTTTCCTGGGGGCCGCCGGGGACACTTGCTGCAGCCGCTGCCGCCTCCTCCTCACTGGGCTTCTTGCGGGCCTCAGCAGGGGGGCGGGGTGGGGGGTTGCTGGGCGGCTGCTTGATGGTGGCCCCGACCTGCGGACGCTCTTTGGGTTTGGGCTCGATGGGAGTCCACTGCTCGCCACGGATGGCGGCCTGCAGGACACGGAGGGGCTGGGTGAGGGGGCCTCCGAGGAGCCACCTCCACTCCCACCCCAACCCTGCACCCCCCACCCCCACCAGGGAACAGGGCGGGACCCAAGTCTGAATCCCCTAAGACGTGAAGAGACTGCGGCTCAGAGAGGTTACGTGACTTGGTTGAGGCCACACAGCCAGGACCTGGCTCTGCCTGACCCCAAATTCGAGCTATTTCACCATGCCAGGAGTGGCCCCACAAGGGGGAAGGGGGCGTGGAATCGCTGGGCTGTGCACCACTTCCAGGGACACATTCCACCACCAGGCCTCCGCCGGAGACTACCAGCCAGGAGCAGGACAGGGAGGCCAGGTCTGGGTGTCCATCACGCTGAGTCAGGCAAGCTGGGCTGCTCGCAGGGTGGAGAGGCCCAGGAGGGCAGCCAGGGAGGGCAGGGGCCCCTTTCAGCCCTGGTGGGTGGTGCCCACTCACCCTGGACCCACCCTGGCCTGGAGCCTCCTCCGGGGCACCCAGGCATGTTGAGGGGTGAAGAGTGTGCAGCCTGGGGAACTTACTAAAATGCAGGCTCCTGGGCCCTACATCCCTGCGACACGCTGAGTGGACCTGGGAATGTGTATTTTTAATTTCATATCCCATAATATTTGATAGATTAAAAAATATGTGATATCATATAATTTATGAAGCATAAGAATAAAATGAACATCTCTGATCCCACCTCCTAACTTAAAAACTAGAACATTTTATCCTGAAAAGTAAAACTATAAAGTTGATAGAAGAGAATGCAGGAAAACAGTGTGTGGGCGGGAAAGACATTTTTAAAAGCACAAACGATGAAGCAAATAAACAAATGGATAAACGTCTGTCCCCGCTCAGTGAGGATGCCCCGGGCGGAGAGAGCAGACCCTCAATGGAGACGGGGAGAGCATTTAGAGTGTGTAAACTGAGGAGGGATCATGATTAAAATACAGGGAGATTCCTGCAACTTAAGGAGAAAAAGACAAACCCTAAGAGAAAAATGCGCCAAGGCCGAGACCAGGCATCTCAGAAGAGGGCGTTCGGACGGTGAGGCCCGTGAGGAGGTGCCCAACGCCGTCCTCAGAGAGGGTCAAGTACCCCATGGGCTCTGTCAGCCTCACGGCGCTGAGAGAGGGCAAGAACCGCGGTGGGGGGGCCGGGAATCGCGGCCCGGGGGAGGGGCGTGTCTAGGCAGGGAGCCTGCCGCCACCACTCAGGAATGCAGGGGCTGACCCCGGACCCCGCAATTCCGCTCTGGTTTAACCCAAGGAATTCTCACTCGGGTTGTCGAGGGCGCGGCCACGTGTGGCAGCGGGAGCTGCGAGGATGCGGGCGGCCCTGGGAGGGTGCAGAGGCTGGACGTGGGGATGTGCGTGCACCCGAGGCCAGAGAAGCAGCAGGCCAGAGAGACGAGCGACAGCAGGGAGTCCTGCGGGTGAGACCAAGACGCCAGCAGCCCTGGTCCCTACATTTAGCGCATGCACAAAACTGCTGCGTGTTTCCTAAGAACAGGTACGAAAGAAAAGAGGAACATCAAACACCAGGGAACAGTGCGAGCGTGTAGCCCAAAGCTGTGCCTGGCGGAGCGTCCCCACACCCGACTAGAGACTGCGTCATGTGCATCCTGACAGGGGCCCTCCACGTGCATCTCAGCTCCAGCAAACCTGCCCCAGGCAGTTTGGGAAAACGTCCACATGGCGTCTGCCCTGTTAACGAGCCTCTCGGAGGTGCTCCTGACTGCATGCCAAATTGGAGCAAGGGTGGTTTAGGTGAGAAAAGTCTGGTAAATGGAGCACAGTCCAGGCTGGGCCTTGGCTGGCTGTGTGACCGTGGGCTAGCCACGTCACCTCTCTGAGCTTCTGCCTCTTCCTCTGTGAAGTGGGGCCCCACCACCCACCGGGCAGGGCTGTCATGCAGATTAAAGGAAAAATCAGGAAACAGCCAGCGCACGTTAGATGTGCACCATCCCCACGACGTGAGCAGGGACACAGGCTCCTGGCCTTGGCTCGGCCTGCAGAGCCAGCTTCAGGGACCGAGGTATCAAGCACCAGTGGGGCTGACCGCAGAGGACACCACTCACCAGCAGATAGATGCCGCTCGCAATGGCCAAGCAGGCTGTCCCCAGGATGGTGGCAAGCAGGAAGCCTGCAGGGACTGACAGCCTGGGGAGGGGGTGGGGGGATGGAAGACTCAGAAGGGCAGTCTGCAGCCCCAGGCCTTGGTCAGAGGCCACAGGATCTCAGGACAAAACAGACCGTAAGTGTGCTGTCCCAGGACCCCGGACAGGGGGGACACCCAGCCTGCCACAGGTCGGGCTTCCCAGTTTGGGTCCCTCGAGCTGTCCTCTGTCTTGACTTGTGCCTCAACAATGCTGCAGACACTGGCTCTCGGCCCCTAGCCCCACACTGGGAGGAAGCCCGAGCAGCTGGAGCAGCTGGAGCGTCACACGGTGTCCCGGCCTTCCCAGTAGGAACCACCAGACAGGGGCGCCAGCCAGCCAACCAGCGCCGCGCCGGGGAGCCCCGCCAACCCGAGCCCTGACCCCTGATTTAAGCTGCTGAGGTCTGGGATGAATTGTTACGTGGCGAGAGATGACGGATGCAAGGTTGGGGAAGCTCTGGCAGAGCCCAGACCTGGGTTTTTGTTTGGACAAACACCTGGGCTCTCCTGTCCAGGCAGCCAGGCCAGGGCCTCCCTGGCCCCCCGAGGGGCAGCAGGGGTCACTCACCCAAGGTGCAAGAAGGCCCGGACGTAGTAATTCCTGGTGAGGGGCCCGAACACCTTCACCACTTTCGTCATGTGCTTCTGTCCACTAAGCAGAGGGAGGGAGGGGACAGGCCGTGTCCTACTCAGGATCCCCACCACCTGCCCCACCCCAGGGCATCCCAGCTTCCTTCCTCCCAGGGACCACGAGGCCACAGCGGCTGGGCAGCCACCAGCCTCGGTTTGCCCAGGACAAATGGGTTGGTGCTGGAGCCTCGGAGGGACTGAACCAGGCTCCTGCAGTGCTACTGGCCAAGCCTCCCAGCCCCTGGGACAAACCCCAGAGCAGCAGGGGCCGGAGCGGGGAGACTCACCATCTCTCCATGGTGGATCCCTTTCTCCTCTTCCCCCGGGGGTACTCCAGCAGGCAGACGAACACACCTGCCACACTGAAGCCACAGTTAAGGAACAGCTCAGCTCAGCCTGAGGGCCACAGTGAGCCCCTTGCTGATAAGAAAACAGAGAGGCGCAGCCGCCGCCTGGGGCTCACACAGCCGGGAAACAGCAGGTGGCCACTTCACTGCCTGTCCTGCGCCCTCCCTCCCCCCATGCCTGCCTTGGCTTCCAGAGGGCCTGTAACGGTTGGGCGGGCGGGCAGAGCCAGGAGGGGACAGAGGGTTCCAGCCCACTCCTGGACAGGCCCAGCCGGCTGGGGAGGGTGGCTGATAGAAGGGGGTGCAGAGGGGGTCCCGAGCATCCCGAGGCCTCAGTGTCAGACCTCAGGGCCGCTGACACCTCCTGCCCCTTCGCCAGGACGCAGGCCGGGTGGGTCTGCCTCTGACCGCCACGCGGTATCGACAGGTGGCTCCCCTGCCTTGAGCCTTGGCTTCCAAAGCTGCAGCTGAGCCCACCCCGCCCTCTCGCCGCTGCTGAGTCCAAAGGGCCCAGGGACATAAGCAGCTCTCTGCACACTGTGAAGTGCTGTGCCCCAGGGCCCACTGGCACTGCCCGCCCAGCCCACCCTGGGGTCCACACTGGGAGGATACATGGAGTAGGCACCAAAGTACCACTGGGTGAACTGGGCAGCAGTGGCCACGATGCCTCCTGTGATGAGGACTGTGGGCAGAGGAGAAGCGGGTTAGTAGGAGCCCCACCCTCGGAGGGGCATGCCCAGCCCGTCCCTGCAGGGCTGGGGTCTGCAGGGGGTCTGGCCACCTCCCCTTGTGCTCCCCCCTCCCACAGCTGGGCCACCCATCCACCACAGAGATGCCCTCCAGTCCCTCAACACGTGTGCCCAGGACAGGGACCCAGGCGGTGCAGACCCCGGCAGACAGTGGGGGATGCCATCCCCGGACAGCGGCCGTGAGCCGGGGCAGGCGCTGCAGGAGCAGCGGGCAGGAGGTGGGTCCTGGACTCCACCTGGACACTCACGCGCGCTCTCGTCGTTTTGAGTTTTTGCTTGATGCATTTACAGACCACGCTGTTGACTGCTGATTTTGTGTCTGCTCCTGGATGGTCTCTCCTCCCCGCAGGGGGTCCCCGTTTGTCCCCACTCACGTTTGTCTGATACTGATAACCCCACAGCCTCCTTTGGGTCGGTATTTGTCAGCCGGTCCGTCCTTTATTTTCAGCTCTGTGGTCCTGCTTTCTGCGGGCCTGCTGTAAGCCGCATGGATCTGGATCTGTTCTCCCCAGTAATTTTCTTTTGCAATTTTTGTTGTGGTAAATATACATAACATAAAATTTTCCATTTTAGCCATTTTAAAGTGTCCAGTTCAGTGGCGTTAAGTACATTCACATTGTTGTGCAACCATCACCACGATCCATCCCCAGACCTTCCAATGATTTATTGAGGTGTAATCATTACATACAGTAAAATGCACAGGCATGAGCTTGGCGACTCTTACAGGTGGGTTCCCCCATGGACCTCCACCCAAATCAAGATTCCCATCATCCCAGAAAGTTCTTTCATGCCCTGTCCAGGCCACACCTGGAACCTGACATCTGGCTTCTCTTGCTCAACAGAAGGTTGTCAAGGTCGTTCACGCAGTTTTTGTGGATTGCTATCTCCTGTTTTTTCTTACCGAAGAGATTTCTATTATATGAATCGACCACGTTTATTTATCCATTCTTCTGTCTTTGAGACATTTCAGTGGCTTCTAGTTTTTGACTATTATGAATAAGCTGCGATAGCTAAATTTTTTATATTTTAATCAATCTGATAGTAAATTTAACATATTTTATTGACAGTGATTGCAGACAGTTTGAACTTATTTCATTATCTTGTTTTCTCTTTAACAGTGTCTTTGTTGCTTCTCCTGCCTTCTGCTGACCTGATCAAACTTTTTTAATTTTAAAATTCCCCTTCTTGAACCGCATGTGGACTTTAGAATGTGTAACTTCATTCTCACCCCATTATTAATTATTTATAGTCAATACTTGTTCATCGGTGTCTTTACTCGTGTCCCAGGCTTTTCTTCTGGATTCAGTTTTCCTCTTGCTGAAGCACATCCTGCAGTAGCCCTTTCAGTGAGAGTCGTGAGTAGCAACTCTCTGGATACCTGAAAATGCCCTCATTCTGGAATGACAATTTATCTGGGTATTGAATTCATGTTTTTCTCTCAGCACCTAAGATATTATCCCACCATTTTCTGGTTTCTATTACTGATGATGAGAAGTCTGAAGTCAGTCTGATACTAATCTATTGTTTTCTCCAGTAAGTTTTAAGATTTTATTTAACGGTCTGTAATTTCATTACAATGTGTCCAAGAAGGGTTTGTTTTCCTTTATTCTGTAAAGGACTTCGTTTTCTGCTTCAACGTGAGATTTCTTCATTTCTGGAAAATGCTCACCCATTATCCTTCTGTATTGCTCCCTTCATTCTGTTGATTCTGCCCCCTGGAACCTACATGGTGTCTGCGTTGGGTCTCCTCGTACTGTCATACATGGCTCAACGTCTAGTCCCTACTTCCCACCTCTTCGTCTCTTTGAGCTGTGTTCCGTGAGGTCTCCTCAGACCCGTCTTCCACTTCCCTAATTCTCTCTCCATCTCTGTATAGTGTTCAATTCATCCAGTAACCTTTAATGACTTATCTTTTTTATTTGTAGACATTCTATATTAGCTCACTTTTTGCACTGTCCTATTCTTGCTGTATAATTTTCTATTCCTTTATTCCCCTGAATGGCTTTATTTTTTTAATTTATTTATTTTTTTTGTGAGGAAGATCGGCCCTGAGCTAACATCTGCTGATCCTCCTCTTTTTTGCTGAGGAAGACTGGCCGTGGGCTAACATCCATGCCCATCTTCCTCCACTTTATATGGGACACCACCACAGCATGGCTTTGCCAAGCGGTGCGTTGGTGCACTCCCGGGATCCGAACTGGCGAACCCCGGGCCGCCACAGCAGAGCGCATGCACTTAACCACTTGCGCCACCGGGCTCGCCCCTGAACGGCTTTAAACACACCCATATGCTTAAACGCGTACCCACGTTCTCATGTCTCTTCCAAATAGCACTAGTAGTGCTGGCTCTAGGGAGGGATGTTCTCCTGTTGACAGTGTCTGCCGACTCTCCCTCAGAGAGTTTGCTTCCTCAAGTGGTGGGACGCTTGTGAGCTGTGCCCAGCAGGGTCTGTCTTGTGTCTCGTGTGCCCTGGTTGAGGAAATGCCCCAATAGACGACTTCACCTTTGCCTCTGCTGGGGGCCTATGGGCTTCTCCAGTCCTGAACCCAGTGGATTTGGATTTCTTGGTCCCAGGGTAGAGAACAGTCAGCCTCACCCCGTGCACAGCAGTTTCTCGGGTTTTGTCTTGTTTGTGACCTTATTCTTCCAGGCCCCGGCAGCAGATAGCAAGCTTCCTTGGAGGGGTGGCTTTCTAGCTCTTTCTTACACAGGCAGCCCCTCCTGGCTCCGGCTTCAGCACGCAGCTCACACAGCCCTTTCCCACACAGGAAAGCCTGAGCCCGGGGGTCCACTTCCCCAGGCCCCTTCCTTCCGCCCCAGCGCAGCACCTTGACCCGCAGTCTGCGTCTGCTGCCAGCAGGTTTCCCATTCTTGGGGTTGAGCTCAGCAGCGTATTAACTCTGGGTTTGCTGGTCAGCACTTCTGTGAGCTGCAAGAGATGAGGGCGGCCTCCTCATGTGTTCAGGCAGCACACGGTCCACTCGTCCCGGGGTGTAACCTCCCCGTCCTGAGCTTCAGGCTCGCTGCCTCCCGTGAGCAAGAGGGGGCTGAGACACCACTGGCTCACCAGGGAGGCATGAGGACGCTACCTACTGCGTGCAGGGGTTCCTGGGAGCGCTGGGATGCTGCAGGGACAAGACAGACACGCCTCAGCTCTCACGGGGCTTACAGTCTCGTGCGGGGACAGAAATAAATATCAGGTAGTGATGACCTGGAACAAGGGATGTGACAGAAATGTCCGGGGCTACCACAGGCTGGGTGCTCTGGAACAATTTCTCCGAGCCAAGTCTTCATCTGACCCAAGAAATGGAGGAGCCAGCCACGGACGCGCCAGAGGCCATTCCTGCAGAGGCCCTGCAGTGTGCTAGGGAGACCCAAGGACACACAGGAGGGGAAGGGAGGGCACTGAGAGGGAGCAGGGGCAGAGCGGTCAGAATTGGGCTTTTATTCTTCGCGATGGGAAGCAGCCGGAGGGTTTTTGGCAGGAGGTGACATGATCTGATTAGATGGGATTTTCTACCATAAAAAAGAAGCCTGTTGGAGGCGACTGTTGGGAGGGCCTGGCCAGTCCTGAGCAGGCCAGGTGGCTGCAGTTGATCCTGAGTCAGGAAGAGAAGTCAGCACAAGGAGGAATTCAGAGCAGGAAGGGTCCAGGAGACCGCCCGACACATCGCCCCATCTGATGGTGGAGGAAACTAAGCCATAGCTGGTAACTTCCCTAGGTCTTGACCTCACTGTCTGTAAAGTGGACAGGAGCTCAGACATTAGCTAAGGCAGGGCAGAGAAAGCCTGCACATGTGGGGCGTGCAATGGATGGGGCCACGGGACAGTCACTATCTGCGCCCGCGGGCGATAGAACGCAGGCCGCCCAGCTCTCAGGGAGCTGCCCTCCGTTGCCCTCTACTTCCTGGGGGGTGGGGAGCTGTGGGAGGAAGGGAGGCTGGTCTGCAGCAGTCTAAGACCTCACAGCCCTCAACAAGCAGAGGGACAGCCTGGGACAGCTCTGGGGAGAAGCAACGGGAACTACCTGACCCACTGATTTCTCAGCCACTCTAGAAGCAGAAACAGGGGTGACCTGCCTGGACACACAGAACAGACCACTGGGCCCCGTGCTCCAAAGCTGCCCATCCCAAAATGTGATCTGACAGTGGGGGTGCTGGGGAGCCTTCATCTCCCTCTGCTCCTTTCCCTCCCAGAGCTTCACCTCCGCTCATCCATGCCCAGATGGCAAGGGGGCCTTGAGGTGGGTCCCAGGTAAACGGTGGTGGCTGGGACCCTCTTCCTCATCACATTCTCACACTCTTCCCAGCCACTCCCACTGGGCATAGGTCATTCCTGGGAGGGGCAGGTACCCAGAGGTAAGGGGGGCAGAGCCTCTGAGCAGCTTCCTCTTGCCTCAGAACCTGCCCCCTCTTGAGCGGTTCCTGCTTCCAATTGCAAATTGGGGAGCAGACCCCACTGCTCCCTAACCAGAGCTCCTGAACACAAGGCGGCCAGGGTGGAGGGGCCCTGCCATCCTTCCCCAGAAGCAGTCTCCTGGAATTGAGCTGGGAGGGGCTTCTTCTGGGTGGGTTCCAAGAGCCTTGTGAAATCCTAGATGTCCTTCCGTGCAGACTTGGGCTGGGCCCCAGAGGGAGAGTGGTCACCACCCCAGGAGCTGAGTCCCTCGCCAGAGGGCAGGAGGAGCCCACTGTGCAACCTAGGACCCCGGAGGTGGAGCCCCTGGCGACCTCCTGGCTGAAGCCCCTACTCCAGTGCAGGAGGGGCCGTGGGGCAGGTTGTCCCATGGGGTTTTCCCAACTCTGAGGGGTGGTGACTCCCCGGAAACCACCGGGCTGAAACTTCCTCTTCCACTCCTGCGCGGGGGTGGGGGAGTGAAGAGGGGACATCTAGGGGCCAGGGGATGGGACGGGGGGAATGGGAGTGGGGTGGGGTGCTGCACGGGTCTGCAGGGGCTGGAGGGTCTCTGAACCCCCTCTGCAGTCTGAGGTCTCTGACTGCCCCGCCAGGCTCCAGCCCGCCCCGCCCCGGGCCCGCCCCACAGCTGCAGGTCCCTGGCTGGAATCTCAAGCCCCCACCCCAGGCTTCAGCTCCCACTTCCTCGCCCGCAGCCCGGGGTCTCTGACCTCTCAGGAGCCTAGCTCCCCGCACCCCATCTCTAGCCCGCCCCTTTCCTCGGCCTGCAGTCTGGAGTCTCCTGGACTCCCACTTCCCAGCCCGCAACCCGCTGACTCCCGATGCCCACGACTCCAGCCTGCACTGCCGGGGCCGCAGCCCGGGTTCTCGGGCCCCCCGGTGCCCAGGCTCAGCCCCCGCCCCAAGCGCGGGATCCCGGGTGCACTCACTCAGGCCGGACGCCAGTGCCTGCTCGTTGGCCCACATGGCCCACTCGATCTGCCCCATGGCGGCGGCGGCTCAGCTCGGACTCCGCGGCCGCGCTCCCGCCTGGCCTCTCGCCCCTCCGCCCCTCCGCCGCGTCCCGGCCCGAGTTCCGGCCCCGCCCCGTCCCCGGCCGTTCGCCCCGCCCCCAGCCCCCAGGAGACAGACTGGCTGGGCCGGTGGGATCCGACGTCTCGGGGTGCTGACGCAGGAGACTTGCTCCCCGAGAGCCCGGCCCGGGAGCTCGGGATGAGGCCCAGCCCCACTGGGCCGGCTTCCTCGGCGGGTTCTGCGTGCCGGGTCCAGCCTCCGAGGCCCAGGCCTCCCCGCTCACTTCCTCCTTCCAGCACCTCCTCGGGCGCCCCGCAGGGAGGCCACCATTTGATGCTCACTTTGTGCCAGGCGCCTACCCTGCCAGCTCTGCCCTCTGCCGTTAATCGGGGCTTCCTAAGCATCTCCGGGGGCTTGTGACAAGGGTGGTTCCTGGTGGGCTGTGCCACAAGGGGAGCAGCCTGTCTCAGGAGGCAGTCACCCCCACAACGCTGAGCTCTCTCTGGAGCTTGCAGACCAAGGGTCCCGCAGGTGTCTATGGGGCGTCACCCAGAAAAGGTATGAGCAGGTCGGGCTCCCAAAAGGGTTTACAAAGGTCCAGAGCCTTCACCATGTCCACTGTGGTCTCCCCACCAGGGAGCAGGGCCTCAGACAGGAGACCCCTGAGCCTGGGCAGCCCCTCCCTCTCTGGAGATCAGCGACTAAGGACGGTGGCAGGTCCAGTCCCCACTTTCTCCTCTGGCAGACTACAGGCAACCCTCTGCTCACAGGACTAACAGGGAGGGGACAGCACGTGAGAAGCTTCTGGGGAAATCCTCAACGCAGGAGTGCTGGGTCCCATCCCTTTATCATGTCCCTCCTCCGCCTGCCGCATTCAGGGTCACAGACCAGAACCCGATCCAGGCAGCAGCCTCACCCGCCCTGAGGCATCCGACCCTCAGGGGAGTGGGGAGAGGCGGGTGGGAGGGCAGGTGCCTAGCTCCTCCTCCACCACCCGCCCGCGCAGATCTTTAGGAAGTGGGCGGGGTGAATGGCTGGGTAACTGAAGGGGAGCTCAAGAGGCAGAAAACAGCAGGAGGGGAGGCGCTGCCCAGGCCCTCCCTGGTCCTCTGGGTGAGTGCTGCCCACTGCCCGGCACAGGCCCTCAGAGCAGGGACCCCGGAACACTGCGCAGGAACCAAGCGGAAGCACCAGCAGGAAGTCACCCACGCTGGCTTTATTCCCAGTGGCCGGCCACAGGGGCTCCCAGGGGATGCTGGAACCTTGGTGCTGCTCTCCCACCTCCCGCCCGAGGCACACTACAGGCCTTCTTATAGAGAAACGTTCCATCCACACCTTGTGGCCCAAGCTCAAGGTCCGGCCCCCAGCCTGGCAGAGGAGCCCTGGCGGCCATCATGCTGGAACCACTTGGTGGAGGTTTCTGGAGGCCTGTGGAGGCTGCTCCCTGCACAGTGACCTGTCCTCCAGCTCCGAGGACGGACGCCTGACTCCCCGTCATCGCCAATGATCGAGCTGCTGTTCCGGGGCAGTGGGAGCAGCCCAGAGCGCGGGGCCAGAGACCCCTTCCCCAGGATGCTGCCCTGGCAGCTCCACTCCCAGCTGGCTTGGTCCTCAGGTGTTGAGCTGCTCCCAGCTCCCCTCCCAGCTCTCATCTTGGCAAAGGGCTGGGTGAAGGCTGGGAAGGGTGAGGCACAGGGGGCAGGGCTGCTCCTCACCACCTGGACAACTGCAGGTGGCCAGTCCACTGCCCCAACTCAACCACAGCACATTGCCCGGCTCGGAGCCGGGCGGCCACCCACAAGTCCCAACAAGCACAGCCTGGTCGGCTGCCACACCCGGTTCCCCAGTCCCAGCGAAGCGTCCCCTTCCCAAGCAGCAGCCGGGGCTCCCGTCGAGGAGGCAGTCAAACAGCTGGCTTCGGCAGGCCATCGGGACCCAGGAGGTGAGCGTGAGGGTCATCCAGGATTTGAGGCCCAGGCCCTACCTGGGGTGTACAGGAATCAATGTCAGGTCAGGGGGACAGGGAGGGACAGAATGTACCCCCCACCTGCTAGGTAAGTGAGGTCAGAAGCTAACATCTGCGTAGGGACACCCAGGCCTTGTCCCAGCTCCTTCGCGCAGAGCCACGTGGTCTCCCCACTGCGAGTGCCCGGTCAGTCGGCCCCCGTCACCCAGACTCAGGGTGGACAGTGAGTCCCAGGGCGGAGGTGAGACCACAGCCTGGGTGCAAAGGTCATGGAACCTGGAATAGGGCGGATCCGAGTGAAATCCTGGCTCAGCACTCTGAGCAGGAATCCTGATCCGCTCCCGGGGCGGCGGGGGGGGGGGGAGCCCCAAGGGTCCCCAGGATCCCCAGCACCTGCCTATCCCAAGTCTCCACCATCCCAGTCCTGCTCTCCACCCTCAGCACTGCCCCTCGCAGGGTGTCCTTCAATGTCCACTTTGAAGGTGAGCGAGAGACTGGACGAAACAAACCGCAATGGGCCACATGCTCTGAGGACCGACGGGGCCGTCACTGCTGCTCCTCTGCTGTTAGCAAGCCGGCTTCCCGCCGAGGCAGGGCGTGAAGGGAGCCTTTCGCCCGGTGGACGCCCCTGCCCACTGTGCTGGGCCGAGGGCCAGGTACCAGGCCTCACCTGAGTGGCTATGATGTATTTGACGCCTCCCGGGGTGGGGTCCATGCCCAGTGCAGCTTTAAGCTCGTCTGAGAGCGGGGCAGGCCTCACGGGCAGCCCTTTCAGAAACCTGAAAAGGAAGGCAGGCCGTACAGGGATCCATCCACAGGGGGGTCTCAGAACAGGCAGGTCCACACAGGAAGCACAGAAGTGGCTGTTGGGCGCTGGGGGTGGGTTGTGACTGCCAATGGGCATGGGGTTTCTTTTGGGGTGATGAAAAGTTCTGGAACTAGAGGGAAGTGCTGGTTGCATGACACTGACTGTACTTAACACCACTGGTCTGTACGCTTCAAAGCGGTCAAGATGGTAATTGTATGTTATGTGTATTTTACCACAAAAAAACCTAAGCAGGGATGACCGAGGGCCTGCCTGGGGTCACGTGAGGGGACAGTTTCAGAAAACCTCTGCAGGGTTTCGGTGTCCTTTCATTCCTAGCCCATGGCTACTGCTACGCCCAGCGGGGCAGCTCTGCTTAGGGAGATGCTTCAGTGTAGGCGTGGGTCTGTCCCCGTGTCCCTCAGGACAGCGAGGATCTGCAAACCACCCCTCGGGGGACAGGGCAGTGAGATCAGAGGCCCCTTGGCCTCTGGGACTGTCCCACAGGGGGGAGGCTAGAATTCCAGCCCCCGCCCCCCAGATGTCAGTGCTGCCTCAGTGATGGTGACAGACAAGACGAGCCCACACACTTCCAGCAGGCCCAGCAGGGAGGTGTCCCCAGCTGAGAACAGAGAACGTGAGAACAGCGGGGTGGAGGGAACCCAAATGCCATTGTCACAGCGGGGCCACGGGCGCATCCACACAGGAGTTGTGATGCTGCACTGGGGAGTGTGCATGTGATCACGGGGCTGGGACATGATGGAGATGCATCCACAATCACAGCTAGGCACACTTGGTGACACGCTGCCTGTGGTCCCCGGGGGATCAACGCCTGTTGTGGGATTCCCTGTTCAGCACCCCGATCTCAGCAGAAGACCCCGCTCCTCCCTCCACGGCCTCCCAAATGGGGGGACCCACAGGACTCACTTGTCTCCATTGGACTCGGGGGGGAAGCTGTGCCTCAATGCAGCCACAAACTCGGCCACGGTGTTGTCCAGGGTGAAGATCACGGCGTTGGGGCCCGCATCGAATGTGTACGCCACCTGGAAGCCAGGTGGTCACCGTGACAGTCTGCATGGTGGCTGTGCCCGGCTCAGCCCCTCTCATCTGCCTCGGAGACCCCGGCCTCCCACTGCAGGGCTGGGGCCCAGACCAGCTCCCAAGCGCCCGCGGGGCCAGGCTGAGTGGGGCGGTGGGGTGAGCGAGGGGCTTCCCACACCGGTGCCCCGGAGCGTGGGCTGCAATCCCTCAGGGGGTCATGCAACCAAAACAAAACAGGCAAGATGGAATCCATGGATGCCCTGTGTGCAGCAGCGACCAGCAGGCTCTGCGAGGCTGTCACAGACACCTCATGCTGCCTCACGACGTGGTTTTACTGCAGCTCGAAGCCTCAGGAGCCCCTGCGGGTTTCCCAGTGGGTGCGGGTCAGTGCCAGCCCCAACCTGTACCACCCTTGCCTTGGTCTGCCCGTGGTGGGCATTGAAGCGATGCACCAGGTGGATGATGCGCCTGGAGGTGTCGCTGAGGTAAGAGATGGGCGGGAAGGTGTCCAGGCAGGTGGCGTGGAACTGGTTGCTGTCCTTCATGGTCAGCTGGCCGAAGCCCTGGAAGTCCCGCTCCTTGATGCAGCGGGTCATCTCTGCCATGCGTGCCGGCACCACGGCCTTGGCCCGGAACTGCAAGGCACAGCGCTTTCCGTGAGGAGCTGGCGGCTCCGCAGCAGAGTGTCAGGAGCTCGGGTTCTGGGTCAGAGCCCCAGCTCGGCAGCTCAGGCCTCAATCCCACCCCACGTCAGCATCCAGTGTCCACAGGGGCTCAGCAGAGCGGATGAGCCTTAGCTTCGAAGGACGTAACAGAGCCTGGCGTGTCGCGACGTACAGGACGTGCCCTGGGGGCTGCCTGTCCACCCTGGTGCCAGCCTTACCCTGAGCAGGGGGCTGGTCTCCACACTGGTCTGCATGCCCACCGTGCTGCCCATCAGCTTCTTCTCGGCACTCACCTGCGAGGTGGAGACAGGCTGGACCACGCCCTGAGGCCCCCAGCCCTAAACACCCAACCACCCACCCGTCCCATCCCATCCTGTCCTGTCCCGCCCCTCCCCTCAGCTGGTGGGGAAGTGCGGTGGGAGCCAGGTCTCCTGACCAGTGGCCTTCTGACCGTGGCAGAGACAATGGAGCTCTGGGAATGGCCGCGTCCAGGTCAGCAGCCCTTGCTGCATGGGAGTCATTCCTAACGCTCGATGAGAGGCACGTTCCTAGCACCCCAAGCCCGCGAGCCAGGGAACGCCATCCCTCCTCCCGCTCCCAGCACGGCCTGTGAGGACCCCTGGCTGCACGGCCAGTCTCACTCACCACAAGGATGAGGACTCGGAGTTCGGGCCAGTGCAACTCGGGGGCCACCTGTCGGGCGACGCTGTCCTTCCCGTCAGCCCGCTCCCCCATCTGCCACTCCACAAAGCCGCCGTGCAAGCTCCGGCAGGCACTGCCCGAGCCTCGACGAGCCACCTCCGAGAGGTCACTCTCGACCCCATAGACTCGGGCCAGGGCGTATGCTGCAGGCAAAGGAGGGGGGCTCAGGTGGGCGGGGGTGCCGGCGCAGGCTGAGCTTGTGCCGCACGAGGATGCTCCCACAGGAAATGAGAAATTCTGAGACGGCGGAGCTTCGGCCACCAGCTCCCATGGTTAGCATTCACTGGCTCACCCGCCCAGCCACCCACCCACCCACCTAGCATTCTCAGAGGTGCTCTGGACACACAAAGACCACCCGAGCCTGCAGGGCTGCCACAGATGGAACCACCCTTGGGGGCCTGAGGACTGAGCAGCGAGGGGCCAGAGACAGCTTCTCTAAGGAAAGACACCAAGTTGGGCTCTCAGGGTGCCATCTGGGGCAGGGACCTAGGCATAAGGGCCTGAGGAACGTGCCCACTCAGGGCACCGGCAGGGCGGGGCGTGAGGGAGCAGCCCTGGGCCTGGTCAAGGGTGGGATGCCAGGATGGAGCTGGGGGTCCACGAGGCAAGCTCTCTGCCCCCCGAAACTGAGGCCCTTCCTGGCCTGGTTCGCCCACCCCCTAGTCACCAAGGGTGGTTCAGGCATGGGCACATGAGCCAAGCTGGGCCACTGGTCTCAGTGGCTATGAGGACGGTGTGAGCCTGCCGCTGTGGTGACCGGCTTTGCCCTCAGGCTGGAGGCCCTGCTGGAAAGTAAGCCAGCGCAGAGGAGAGCAGAGCTGGGATTTAGACAGAGAGAGATGGATTCCTAACGGGGCTGTCAGAGAGCCCGGAGCCAGCTGCACCTGAAGCCAGCTGCACTCCTTGGAATTCTGTTACATAAGTCAAAAAATCATTCCTACTTTAAGCTTAAGCTGGTTTGAGGTGGGTTTCTGTCACATACAACCTAGAGGGTCCTATACATGGAGCCCCCAGAAGATTTTAACCTTCAGAAATGTGAGGTGACCGAGGCCTCAGCCTTGTGTGGCAGGGGCTCCCTGAAGGCTGCAAGAGCATGAGGCACCACCTGCTGCGGCACAGCACTCTGGGGGCCCGGGGTCTCCCTGTGGGCACCCACCTAGGCAGGCATAGCCCGCCGCCGAGGAGGCCAGGCCTGCGGCCGTGGGGAAGTTGTTCACCGACGCGACGTGGACCTTGTAGCTGACGCTGAGGGGCAGCGGGTCCTCATCACCACTGCTCCTCCGCTTCCGGGCCAGGCGGCGGACTGCAGGGCGGGGAGACGGTCACCGGGCAGAGCCGACACTCCCTGCCCCTGGCACCTCACCTGCCGCGGGTCAGGAAGGGCAGGGGCCCCACTGAGCCCTCCTTCTCGGGGAAGGCCCAGACCCCAGCCCCAAACCGGGCCCGTGCTGACAGGCACTGCCCTGTCCCCGGGGCTCAGGGAGCCAAGTAGGGGCAAGGAGGCGACAGCACCTTCTGTGCCTAGAGCGAGGAAGGGACGAGGGGACGGAGCGGGCTTGGCCTGGCCCTGCCATCCCTCAGGGGACCCCCACTCACTCTCCCTCAGGCAGGCCTGCAGGCGCGGCTGCCCCACGTCTTCCTCCTGGCCATTTAGCCAAATCCGGTCCTCGGCGAAGTCCTTGCTGATGGCGGCCGTCGTGGTGGTTTTTAACTGAGAAAGAAAATGCGGGGCAACTTCAGGGCGGGTGCCAGCCAAGCCCCCCGTTCTGCTGTGGAGGCCTTTCCACCACGGCCCTTCACGGGCGCCCACTCAGGAGAGCAGGGAGGAGGAGGCCGAGGTGTCTGGGGCCGGGCAGTAGGGAAGGCCGGCAGACACATGGCAGGCTGGGCCCCAGGCTGGCTCACTACACAGAGTGTGGCCCACGCTTCCATCTCCCACAGCAGAGCCACAGGGCTAGGCTCGGAGAATGAGGGGACACGGACCTCCAGAGGAGACCCGGGGGCACGAGTGCGTGTGTGTGCATGTGCGGTGAGCCTTCCTAACAGGGGGGATGGAATGGACACCATTCATTGGCTGGGGATATATTGCTACCAATTGTTAAAAAAAGTTTAAGAGAAGTTTAATCAATATTTATTTCGGTGTTTATTGCCAGTCCAGTCCATACTAACCTGGTCCTGGTGCAAAGTGACACTCAGAGAGGAGTTGATGGGCAGGATCAGCTCCTCATCTCGCTTTCCCCCTGGAACAGACAACCCAAGGCAAAGGCAATCAGTTTCTGGGCCCTGCAAACCAGTGTACTATTGCCCCTGCCCACCAATGCCCCACCCCTCCCCACCTACATTCCGCAGTCACCCCTACTCCCATCCCACAGCTCCCCCATCCATCTGGACCCTGTTCTCTCACTGCACAATCTAAGTCCTCTTCCTGCTGTGCCCCAGCCTTCAGGCAGCCCTCCTGGATTGCTCCCTACTTCACTGAGCTCCAGGTCCCAGAGCTGAGCTGGAGGCCAGTCCATCTCCCTGCTTCATTGATTCTGCTTCACCTTCTTTCACTCATTCAACGAATCACCTTGGAGGGCCTACCAGGCACTGGGTGCTCTTATTGTAAGGCCTTTGCCTTCTCCTCCCCAACAGGAAGGACCCCAGTGACTGAAAACTCCTCAAATCTCCCTGCCCGTACTCCCTGGAATTACTCAGAATCACCCACTTCTGCTGAGCTCTTCCACTCCTGGCAGATCACAATAAACACAGTAAACCTTCCTGAAAGTCCAAAATTTCAAAACTCTTTATTAAGCACACACAATGTGCTGCACTTTTGTGTGGGATCTCTGGGGATGGCAAACAGCAAGAGGAGATAATAAAGACTAGTATCTGGCAGGTAATCTATGAGAGCCCAGAAAGAAACCCACATACATAGACCCAGCTGGTTTTTGACAGAACTGCAAAAGCAATTCAATGGAGGAGGGACAGCCTTCTCAGCAAACACTGCTGGAATAAGTGAACATCCATAGGCCAAAAAATGAACCTGGACCCAAGTCTCAGACCTTATACAAAAAATAACTCAAAATGGATCACAGATTTACATTTAAAAAGTAAAACTATAAAACTTTTAGAAAAAAACATAGGAGAAAATCTTCAGGATGTAGGGCTGGCAGAGAGGTCTCAGACTGGACACCAGAAGCATGATCCACAAATGGAAAAACACCGGACTTCACCAAAATTTTAAAAACTTTGGCTCTTTCAAAGATCCTGTTAGGAGGATGAAAAGACAAGCTACAGACTGGGAGAAAACATTCACAATCCACATATCCCACAAAGGATCAATACCTAAAATACACAATGAACTCTCAATATTTAATGGTAAAAAGCACACAACCCATTAGAACACGGACCAATGAGATGGAGAGGACACACAGATGGCAAATAAGCCCTGAGAAGGTGCCCAACCCCACTGGCCAGCAGAAAACGCAAACAAAAACCACAATGAGGGCCGGCCCCCTGGCTTAGCGGTTAAGTGCGCGCGCTCCGCTGCTGGCGGCCCGGGTTTGGATCCCGGCCGTGCACCGACGCACCGCTTCTCTGGCCATGCTGAGGCCACATCCCACATACAGCAACTAGAAGGCTGTGCAACTATGACATACAACTATCTACTGGGGCTTTGGGGAAAAAAATAAATAAATAAATAAAATCATTAAAAAACAAAAACCACAATGAGATAGCACCACACACCTATCAAAATGGCTGAAATAAAAACCAGAGACAACACCAAATGCTGAACACCCAGATCCCATTCATGCTGTTGGTGGGAATGTAAATGGTACAGCCACTCGGGAAAACAGCTTAACAGTTGCTTTAAAAAGACTAAAGGTGCAACTATCCTAGACCCAGCCGTTGCACTCCTGGGCATTTATCCTAGAAGAACGAAAACTTAGGGTCACACACAAACCCATACACAAAAGTTTATAGCAGCTTTATTCATAATAGTGCAAAAGTGGAAACAACCAGCTGCCTTTCAAAGGGTGTGTGGCTAAGCGAACTGTGGCCGTCCACACCAGGGAACAGCACTCAGCGCTGAAGTTGAGGAGTAAGAATGCCTGCAACCACCTGGACGAATCTCCAGAAGTTATGAGTGAAAAGAGCCAGTCCTCAAAGGCTGCATCCTGAATGAACCCATTTACGGACCATTCTGGAGCAGGCCGAGGTGAGCAAGACCCTCAGGGATGGACGTCCTGCGGCAGACCGTGTCCACCGAGTGCCCCGACCCCGCGGGGGTGGACGTCCCGTCGGGACCGTGTCCACCGAGTGTCCTGGCCCCCCGGGGGTGGACGTCCGTCCTATGTCAGACCGTGACCACCGAGTGTCCCGGACCCGCGCACTCACAGTACTTGATGACAGCGATGTTCACCGGCGCGGTGCAAGTCACGGCCACAATCGGCTTCTCCGACGCCATGGCCAAACAACACAGCGCCCTCCACCTGCTGCCGCCAACTGGCCAGACCCGCGCCCCCGCCGCCCTGCGATTGGCCCGCGCGGCCACAGCTGTTCGCGCGCCGTCCAACCAGCGGCGGGTTCGGCTCACGCTCCACCTCTCAGCCAATCAGCGAGATCGAACGATGGGCTGCCGACGTTGAGCCCGCCTCCGCTGGCCGGCGAACACGTGTCGGCTCTGCGCAGGCGCGGGGATCTAGCCTGACAAGGAGTCCGTGCAGGCTCTAGCTCTGCGCAGGCGCGAGGCCGCCCCAGCAGCGGGGGCTGGCCCAGGCGCCGAGACTGCGCAGGTGCCGGGTCTGCGCATGCGCATGGCGGCGCCTTCCCGTGATCGAGGCCGGACCGGGCTGAGAGGCGTGTTCCTGGCGGGCGGAAGTGTCATGTGCTCGGCACCCTGCGGGGTGGTCCTGGGCTGAGGGAGGCGGCGGGCCGTCTACCCCGGCGGGGATGACTGGGCCCTGCGAGGTCCGACACTCCTAGCTGCTCCGGTTGGGAGACTCGGGGTGACCGCGCGCAGTGCTGGCGGGGCTGAAGGGCAGGCGGCTCCTAGCGCGCCAGGACGTGGCCTCCGGGGGTCTCCCCGTGCCCCGCAGACTGAGGGTCCCCCTGACTGGCCCCCCAGAATCTCCTAGCCTGCGCCCCGCCTCCCACGGGCCCCAAGGACTCCCCACCCCACTGGCTGACCAGTGCTGCTGAGTGGGGGTGGGGGTGCTGCTAAGAGATGAGCTGCTTCAGAGATAGGTGCTTTCAAAGCCCCCCCCCCCTTTTTTGTGTGTGAGGAAGATCAGCCCTGAGCTAGCATCGGTTCTAATCCTCCTCTTTTTGCTGAGGAAGACCGGCTCTGAGCTAACATCTATTGCCAATCCTCCTCCTTTTTTTTCTCCCCAAAGCCCCAGTAGACAGTTCTATGTCATAGTTGCGCATCCTTCTAGTTGCTGCATGTGGGAGGCAGCCTCAGCACTGCAGGAGAAGCAGTGCCTCTGTGCGCGCCTGGGATCCGAACCTGGGCTGCCAGTAGCTGAGCTGGCGCACCTAACTGCTAAGCCACGGGGCTGGCCCCAGCCCACTCCCCTTTTTAAGCTCCATATAAGCAAGGACTCTTTTTTCATGGTTGCAATGGAGTGCCACGTTTATATTTACCTTGGGTTTTTTTATTGCGGTAAAATAGATGTCACGTTTACTATTTTAACCATTTTAATGTACGGTTGTCTGGCATTGAGTACATTCCCATTGTTGTGCAACCGTCACCACCATCCATCTCCAGAACTTTTCGTTATCCTAAACTGAAACTCCATACCTATTAAGCAATTACTCCCAATTTCCCCTTTCCGTTTATAAAAATTTATTTTTAGCTTTAAAATGGTTCCGATTTCAGTCAAGATAGAGTATGCAATATGGCCAGTCCCACCCTGGCCTCAGCCACCCAGTCTGTTCCCAGAAGTATCATTGTTATCCATTCTTTGTGTATCTTTCCATCAACATTTTATGCATAATACAAGCAAATAGCTTTTTTCCCACCCTGCTTTTTCCTCTTACGAGTTTCTTGGAGAACATCCTAATTTAGTACAAAAGAGCTCTCTGGTTTTGTCGTCTAGAGGTACCATAATTTGTCCAACTCATCATCAAAAAATGAACCCCCAGCCTCCACCACTTGCTTTGAGAACTCCGACTAGTTCTCTAAAGTTCTAGGTGGATCTGCCCCTTCTGGCTCCTTGACGGCCGTGCTTCCTCTGTGGTCTGAGAAGCACTGCACCTGTTCCGAGCCTTGCTGTTCTCACACCCAGTTACATCTCTAAGGATCACTACTCTCTTTACAGGATGAATTCAATGTTTTGGGGATCCAGGGCCAACTTGGCTAGGACCAAGCATTTGCAGCTGCAGAGCACCTGCCAGCATCCTGGGAAAGGTGAGCAGGAGAGGGGAGCGGGGTTAGCGGCGGAAATGGAAACATCAACGTTTAAAGGGTGTGCGTGTTCCAGACTGGTAGGAAACAGAGCTCGGTCCACGCTTCGTGTGAGCACCGGTGTGAGGTCACCCTGGCCTTCCTACTTTCGAGCTTTCAAAATTATCCTTCCGTTCTCTCCCTTTTCTGGGAGAAGCTGTAGAGCCTTCTAATAATCCCAGAACGGCAGGTCCTAAAGCCTCTGAGTCTCTTCTGAACTCTGCTGAAGTTGTGTACACTCCTCTCTGTTCATTCACAAGTCTTTGTTGGGGTCCCCTCCAGCACGGCACAGCATCAGGGGAGGCAGGGAAGGCAGCATCAAACTCTGCCCTCAGGACGCTGACAACCGTGTTGTGGAGATAGGACGGCTCCTGAAAAGTGAACAACAGCACAGCAGAGACAGTGGCTGGAGAGGCCACAAGTGACGGCAGGGCGTCACGGGAAGACACTGTGAATGCTGAGGTCCCACAGACTCGGAGACAGGTCTGGCTTTCAGTCTGGAGAACGACACGGTTGTAACTGTGTCTCAAAAACAGATGTAATTGGTGACGTGGATGAACTGCAGCAAGGACCGTCTGCAGGCAGGGAGACCCCTAAAAGGTTATCTCGGTGGTCCATGACAGCCATCATCCCTTGCGACACAGACCATGGCGGTCTGTGATGGAAGATCTGGACCAGCAGTGGAGGGGGCAACAAAAGGTGTCTGAGGCCTCGAGGAGTGTGATGGGAGGAAGCACAAGACATGTCAAGGGCCTAGGGGTAGAGCCAGAGGGAAAAAGATGGGTAAAAGATCATGGCAGTTTCCACTTATAACAGTTCTGGGAGATGCCGACCAATCTGCAGCAACAGGAAGCAGACCACTGGTTATGGGGTGGGCCTAGGGGGCAGGGGCAGATAGAGTGGTGGGGCATGAGGAAACTTGCAGGGTGGATACGTCTGTCACGTTGATTGGGGTGGTGGCTTCACAGGTGCGCAGAGGTATCAGCGCTCATCCAGCTGTACACTTAACACGTGTGCACTTACTTTTGGGCCAGTGACACCTCAGTAAAGCTGTTCTGACTGCTGGGATTTTATGTCTGAACTTCAAGGGGTGTGGTGATGAATTGGGGGCTCAGAGCCATGGCTGGCTTTAGGTTTATTGACTTGAACGGGCTCCCCTGTTGTCTGAGGGTTAGGGACATGCTCGTTGTGTTAGAGCCATGGACGTCGTCTTTGCTGAACTGCTCATCTAAAAATGTTTGCCCTTCAGTTTTGCAACCAAAATACACTCTTTAAATCAGGCATAAATGTGTTGAAAGTGGCGTTTTGAACTTAGGCACCAGTGACAATAAAGGCAGCGAAAGATGAAGCCCCCGAGTGGGGAAGTGGAGATGAGCTTGGAGGAGGGAGGGTGTGTCACTGACAGAACGTTGAGTGTTGAGGCTCCCCTCCATCATCTAATTATTCATGTCTTCATTAATCCATCCTTGAGTGCCGGACCAGTGACATCATTTACAGGGCCCAGTGCAAACTGAAAATGTGGGCCCCTTGTTCTTCTTTGAAGAATTTCAAGATGACAACAGCAGAGCATTCATCCAAGCACAGGGCCCTCCTGCGAGGTCGTCGCACTGATGAGGAGACTCAGAAGAGATCGTTCCTGCCAGGACCTCGGCCTGAGGCCTGGCCTTGTCTGTCTGCATGGTCCCTACTCCTCCCTTTTGAGGGACATTTTTTCAGTTCTCCAGAAGCAGTTCGTGCCACTTTTGTTGTAGGCAGGTAGTAAGTCAGACATGAGCAGGGGAAGGGATAAAAGCTGACAAGTCAACAGAAAAGAAGCCTCCTCTGAGGGCCACCTAACACCCAACACAACACCCACAACGTCCTGTTTTGCAGCTAGACACGTAGCTAGTTATGAGGGGAACCCACAAATCCTGACACCTATCCTAGTAGTGAGGGACTAAAATCCCCCGCAGCAGAGCTGGTGCACAAAGAGCCCCCACGTGCCCTGCCCTGCCCTGCCCTCACCCTCATTATACTAAAATCATCATAAATTTACATTGCGGTTTTGACCCCCCCTTGCAGAGGATGGATGCCATGACAGCTCTGATCGAGACCATCTAAGGGGAAAAACTCCCCCTCCCGACGTGAGGGAAGAGGCAACAAGCCAATTGGACAACCCTCTGTAATCCCCTTCATAGCCTATATAACCCACAGATTACTCAAACCTCAGGGACAGTTGCTCACCTTGGGCCTGCCCGCTCCCTCTCTCCAAGTGTCTTTTGCTTTGTGAGTAAACTCCTGCTTGAAACTTTCTTGCTTGTGTTCTTTCACAAATTCCTTTGCAACGCCAAAAAAGAACCTGGAAAATCCAGCCAGCCACCGGGTAACACTTCTAGATTCCACTTGCAGCTACCCATGTCTGCCTGCTGGAGGAGGAGAGACCCGTGTTTGAGACCCCGCTCTGCTGCTGGCGGGATGGCCGCCGCAGGTCCCCGGCCTCTGCGCACTCCCGCTTCCTTCCAGCCCTTTGTTTTGGGAGCCTGCTGGCAGGTGACATTGCTGGCGGGGAGCAAGTGTTGATGGTTCCCCTTTTCTCTCCATCAGCAGAGACGGAACAGTAGAAGAGAGGATGTCTAGGTTTTTAATCCCTTCCTTGTTTATGCTTCAGGATTAGTTTCGGGGATGCATGATGGGTGTAGGGTGAGGAATTGATGCTCCAGTCAGAGCCACCAGGAAGCCTCTGCAAGGAGGCAGGGGTGATGGTGGCCACCACCTGGAGAGCTGTCACCCTGAGAGGCACTGCTGAGGAAGAGGAGGGATGAGAGAATTCCCAATCTGCTCCAGGGAGTCAAGCCACAGGCTGTTCTAAAAGTGGGAGGGATCAAGGACCCCACTCATCCTCTGAAGGAGCTGCTGTCTCAAGCAGGGAAGGGGCACGAAAAGGATTCTCGAGTAGCGGGAGGCTGCCAGGATCAAATCCTGATCCCAGCACATTGTAGCCGAGAGACTCTGGGCAGGTCAGTTCCCCTCCCATGCCTGCGCCGTCCACCCCTGAAATGGGCAAGAGCGGC